GGTTTCCTCACCCCTACAGAAAACTCCCATCTCGGGGCTGGTGAGATGGCTCAGTGGTCTAAAGCACCTACTTGGAACAAGCCTGGCAAAGCACAGGGACCACGGTTCAATCCCCCAGCACCACATGCCAGCCAGCCCCGCCCCCTGGTGGGCTGAGCTGGTCACACACACACACACACACACACAATAAATAAATAAATAATTTTTAAAAAAAGAAAAGAAAAAAGAAAACTCCCATCTCAGAAGACCACTGAGAACATTCATTAGAAAATACATGCAGGATTTCAGACACTCAAATCATTATATTGGGATCTATTTAACAAAGGAGAATTCTCATAGTTTTCCTTAAGATGTGCCCTAATAAGTCATGAAAAGGTTTTCACAGCTCAGTTTAGTCACTATCAAGGAGGAGAGAAGGAAGACAAGTATCACTCCTGTAACTTTCCACCCTGGATATGTCACTTTCTACCGATGCCTACAACTGGCAGTGTTTCTTCATTACCCTGAAAGTTTCTCAGATACTGGGACTATATGTCATTTTTTGGTCTTCTCCAAATTAGCACAGAGCTGGGAATGTAGCTCAGTGGTAAAGCACTGGTCTAGCTTGCATGAGGTCAGGCCCTGTCCCACAAAAAATAACAAATTTAAAAACCCTAGCATATACATGCCTGTAATCCCAGCACTCAGGAGGCAGAGGCAGGAAGATTGGCATAGTGACAGGCCAGCCTGAATGGCGTAGTGAGACTGTCTCAAAAAGACAAAAACACCTACCTCTCTTCCTAGCACAGAATATACATTTAATATACACCTGCTCTTTTTCTTTTTGGTGAGGAACCAATACCAGACAACTTAAATTCCAGGGCTTGTAGTATCTATAAGAATATCTTCTTCCTTTGCACAAGGCTTGTGATTTTGAAGTGGAAAGTTTGTGTCAATGGTACCCAGACGTGGGATAGAAGGGAGATCCAAGTTTTCAAAATAAATGAAAACAAAGATCAAGAAGAATATCAAAGCTGGACATAAGGGCACACACCTACAATCCTAGCACTAGGGAGGCTGAAGCAGGAGGATCACCTCAAGTTTGAGGCCAGCATCAACTACATAGCAAGATGCTGCCTAGAAAAATAAAATTAAATTTTTAAAAAAAAAAGAACTGTTTCCTATGAAGCACTTTGACCGGAACTGTTTTGTCTGAATTAACCATGCCTGAGCTACCAATATACAGGAAATACAAGATTGCAAGAGCAAGTTAAATCAATCACAAATACAACCAAAAGGCAGAACATTCTATAAATCAACTAGCCTTGTTCCTCCAAAAACTGTCATAGAAAAAGAAAGAAGTTGAGGCACTGTTCCATTATCAGCAAAGGGCAAAAAGCCACAGGCAATGTATGAATGAGCCTTGGCCGGTGGCTGGTTTTAAAAGATAATAAAGCAGGTATAGTGGCACACACCTGCTATCCCAGCACTTGGGGGGGCTGAGGCAGCAGGTTTATTATGAGTAGGACCAGCCTGGGCTACAAAGTGAGCTCAAGGCTATCCCAAAGTGCATAGCGAGACCCTGTCTCAAAAAGACAAAATAAATAAATAATAATAATCATTGGCCAGGTATGGTGCACGCCCAGGACTCCAAAGTAGAGGCAGAACTGCCAGCGTTCAAGGCCAGCCTACGTTACATAGTGAGTTTAAGGCCACCCTGGGCTACATAGCCAGACCTTGTCTCATAACAAACATACCAACAAAAAAGGTAATTATTGTAAAAGACTTTGCTGGGTCAACTGAAGAAAATGGAATCTGGACTAGATATTTGATGATACTAGAGAATGATTATTCACTTTCTTTAGGATGTTAATGCTTTTACAGCTACAAAAAGAACCATACATGCACATCCAGCACTGGGAATCAAATCCAAAACCTCACACATAGCCAAGGGCTCTAAGAGCAAGTTACATGGCCAGGCCCTAGGTTACCCTCCTTTTTAGAAGGTATATGCTTAATTAAGGTTAATGGTATCTACAATTCCTTTGAAAGATTTTAACTCCTTGCCCAAAATAATGATGTGTCTACACACACATATACACAGGTTGAGAAAATAGACATATCAAAATGAACAATTAGGGGCCAGGAAGGTGGCTCAGTGGAATAAGCACTTCCCTGGCAAGCACAAGGGCCTGAGTTCAATCCCCGGTTCCACCAAAAAAAAAAGAACAATTATTAAGTCTAGGTGTATATTTAAACTTCAAATAGTGTTGGAAGACATGGAAGCAAGACAACAACCAAATTATTTTCTGCCTAGAATGGAAATTTTTTTCCTCTTGCACTTACAATAAAAATACATCATTGGGGCTGGTGAGATGGCTCAGTGGTCTAAAGCGCCTACTTAGAACAAGTTTAGCAAAGCACAGGGACCACAGTTCAATTCCCCAGCACCACATGCCAGCCAGCCCGCCCCCTGGTGGGCTGAGCTGGTCACACACACACACACACACACACACACA